CCAGGGGAGAGAACCTTGGGGAACTCCACCATTCCCTGCTCACAGCTGCTCTAGGGAGGCTGCTTGGCTGCTGAGGCCCCTTCTCCTCACCTGGGGTCACCTTGTCCCCACCTGGGCTCCACGCCATGCCCTGCTCTGCGTCAGATCCCAGGATCTGCTGGGAACAACGAGCAGCCCTGCAATTCCACCCTCTGTGAGCCTCTGAGTTCCATCTCTCTGTGAACCTCTCCTCCAGGTTTGGTTTCCCCTGGTGCTGTCCCTGGATGCCAAGGACAGCTCCCACTCTCCCAAGGACAGAGGCAGGAAGGAACTGAACGTGATGGACTCTGTGTCCCTGCTGCAGCCCTCGGCAGGGGATGTGCAGCTGGGAGTGAAGTGCTTCCTCTTCCTCCCTAAATATAGCAGGGATGTTCAGCCTGGGATGCTCAGCATGGAACACTGCAGTGCCTGTCCCTGAGCTGTGCCCACACTGGGAGGGAAAGGCCAGGTCCCTCCTGGCTGGGGATTCTGTGGCTGAAGGACAGGGATGGGCACCTCTGGCCAGGCTGCTCCCTGTCCCCAACAGCTGCCCAGCACTACAGCCACACAGAGTCCTGGGCTGGTTTGGGTGGGAAGGACTTAAATCCTACCCAGTGCCACCCCATTCCATGGCAGGGACACCTCCCACTGTCCCAGGTGCTCCCAGCCCTGTCCAGCCTGGCCTTGGGCACTGCCAGGGATCCAGGGGCAGCCACAGCTGCTCTGGGCACCCTGTGCCAGGGCCTGCCCACCCTCACAAGGCTGTTTGGGTATGGGAAATGAACTTACTGAAGGGATGCCCCCAGCAGCCCTTCAGTCCCTTTGTGGGTGGCAAGGTGCCCCTGCCATGCTGGAGAACACAACCAGACCACATCCAACAGGGAGGGAGGGCTGGAGCCCAGAGCTGCCCCTGCAGCCCCAGGGAGTGCCTGGAGCCAGGGAGGGACACTCTGCTGCTGCAGCCTTGGCTGTGGCTGCAGGGAGGTGGGTGCTGGTCCCTTCTCTCAGGAACAAGTGACACGACAAGGGAAAACAGTCACAAATGGTGCCAGGGGAGGTTCAGGTTGGAGATCAGGGAAAATTTCCTCCCTGAAAGGGTGGTCAGGGCCTGGCACAGCTGCCCAGGGCAGGGGTGGAGTCCTCATGCCTGAAGTGTCCCAAAGGTGTGTGGATGTGGCACACGGGGACACTGCTGGGTGCCAGTTGGACTTTGGAGAGCTTTTCTAATCAATCCCAGGCCTATCAGATTAATTAAAGAATAAAGGGCTGATGGCAGCAGGGTGCTGAGCCCACCCTGCTCACGCCACCCTGTGAGCTGGGAACCAGCCCTGGGGTCCTGCTCAGACAGGAACCCTCCAGTCCTGCCCCAGAGCTCTGGGATCCCAGTGCCTCAGCAGCACACACAGCACTGACCGAACTGGCCAGAAAGTGCTGCTGTAAAGCACCAGGGAGCTGGAAAACAACCACCTGCTCCAGGGGATAAAGGGTTAATGAACAAAACGGGCTGGAAGTGCTTTGGGACAAGGACAGGGTGGAACACACATGGAAAGCAAATCCAGCACCACAGGGCACAGGGATTTAGTCCAGAAATGACCAAGATATTGAATTTCCTTCAGAGAAATCCTCCCTGCGAGGCAGCTGCAGCACCTTCCCCTTCTCAGGAGCTCTTCTGGTGCTGAGGGGGCACTGACTGTCCCAGCCAGGAACAGCAGCAGCCTCAGGCCTCCCTCTGGAAAAGGTCCCTGGAATTAACTGTCTCATTACAAAGTTGCTGCTGGGTTGATAACTCAGCCCATTAGTTCAAAGTGATGCCATAAATCCCATTTTTGTGACCATGGTTTATGGGATTTACTCAAAAGCAAAGAGAATTACTCAAGAATTCAGCAGTGTTGCTAGAGAATCAAAGAGGAGGGAGCCCAAACAGCAGAGAGATGGGAATCAGGGCAAGGCTGGGAGGAGGAGGATGCAGGAGGGGCAGGGAAGGGGAGCTCCCAGCAGTGCCCAAGGCCAGGCTGGATGGGGCTGGGGGCAGCCTGGGGCAGTGGGAGGTGTCCCTGCCATGGCAGGGGTGGGGTGGGATGAGTTTTAGGGTCCCTCCCCACTCAGACCAGTCTGGGATGTGAGGAGCTGACACCCAGTGCCCCAAAGCCAGGAAATCCCAGTAACAGGTGGATGCTCAGGGCAAGGGGAGCAGGGCACAGGACTGTTCTCTGGGGTGACCTTTAGGGACCTATGTGAAATCCAAATCTTGCTGTGAGGACTCAGTTTTTAGGACTTTTTGAGCTCCCCTGGGATCCAAAGCTCTCTGAGGTTCAAGTGGGACCCATCCTCCCCTGAGGGCTCCCAGAGAGCAGAACCACTGCTGGCCAGCAGGGAAAATCAGTATCTGTGTGGGAAGGGACCTGGAGGCTGAACAGGAGAGTTTCAGCACCCTGAAGGGCCCCAGGAGCCCCAGTTCCCATCTCAGCACCACCTGTGACCTCCAGAGAGAGAAAATAACACCAGACACAAACCCTGCAGTTTGCTTTCCTTAAAATCCCTTTTCTCCCTAAATCCCTGCCCTCAAGAGAGAGATTCACTGCTGAGCTGTCACTCACCACAGGCAGGTGCCAATCAATGATCCCATCCATGCCAGGCAGCAGCTGCAGGATGGATCATTCCTGACATTCCCACACTCCTTCCCACAGGCTGGCATTCAATGGCAGCATTAAACTCATCAGAAGCATTGTTTGGACACCTCCAAACCCAGGAAAACACAGTGAAATAAATCACATTTCTTAATGATTTTTATCACACTCTTCCTGCAACTGCTTAATTTTTTAAAGCCCCCTTTGATTTTGCAATTACTCACTCCAGTTTGATCAATCCCAGAGCACAGGTTTTCCTGCAAATAATAAGCACTGACAGATTATATTCTCCACTAGAGCCTGAAACTCAAAAATTAAACTCTAATGGAAATAAATTTATTTTTTATTAGCTATTTTAGCACCGAGGACAGATTGTTTCCCACAGACACCCTCTGCTAATGGCTGTGGAAGTAGAAGCAGCTGTTGAATTCCTCCTGGACAGGTACCAATTTATTCTCTTTGCTAATGGTGTTAGTTAAATTCTGCCTCAAGAAGGTTTCTGCAATCTGTTTGTTTGCTTTCCTGGACCTCACAATGCAAAAGGAGATTTTGCTTTCTCAGGAACAGTTGCCAGTGGCAACAGCCAGGAGTGAGACTGTAAATAAAGCCAATTTAAGGTGAGATCAAACACAACCACTGCCAGGTGTCCTGGTTTTCTCTGCTCCTTCCCAGCTGCTCCCTTTGCAGATTCCAAAGAAGGTT